TAGACGGGGTCCAGGGGGCAGAGCCCCGGAAGTTCAGGAGTTTAGGCATTTAATTACGGTCAGATGAGCATTATTTTGATACCTTATTGTTACAATGGCAGGTCACTAATTGGCTTGGGGTTCACGAGGCGGAGCCCCACGCAGCTCAGGGGTTTTAGGCATTTAATTACGGTCAGATAAGCAGTCAAGCTTAGGGCATTTAGGCAGGCGCGGATCCAGGATTTCTTAGGGGGGGGGGGCCCACTTTTTTTTTTTGGTCCGAAAAAAAAATGACTCAGCGGGGGGGGGGGGGGGGGGGAAGAGGACACTTTTTTGGGGGGGGGGGGGGGTTGGGGGGGGGGGGGGTCTCGAAATTGAAAAATTGACATTTTGTTCCGTTGGGGGGGGGGTGAGGTCACCTTTTTTAGGTCAGCCATTGGCATATTTTTTTAATTTAATTTTAATTAAAAAAAAAAAAAAAAAATCACAGATAAAAAACCGAAGGGGGGAGGGTCAACCCCCTAACCCCCTCCCCCCCCCTTCCGTACGTGCCTACTCGTCTGAAAATAGTTTTTCCCTCCCGCGCGAAGCGCGGAAGCTTTTACGTTTCATTAAATCATTAGAAAAAGAAGACGATTCGTTGTACAGTTTTTTACTCTTAATCCTCGTCTTAATTCACCCCCCTCTCCCGCGCAAAGCTCGGAAGCTTTTACGTTTCATTAAATCATTAGAGAAAGAAGACGATTCGTTGTACCGTTCTCGACTCTTAATCCTCATCTGAATACAGTTTTTACGTTTCATTAAATCATTAGCGAAACAAGACGATTCGTTGTTCCGTTATGACTTTTAATCCTTGTCTAAATTCAGTTTCCCCCCTCCCACGCGAAGCGCGGAAGCTTTTACGTTTCATTAAATCATCAAAGAAAGAAAACGATTCGTTGTACCGTTCTCGACTCTTAATCCTTGTCTAAATCAATTCCCCCCCCCCCCCCCCCCCTCTGCCGCGCGAAGCGCGGAAGCTTCGACGTTTCATTTAATTATTATAGAAAGAAGACGATTCGTTGTACCGTTCCCGAAAATTATCCTCGTCTGAATTAAGTTCGCCCTGCCTCCCCCGCGCGTAGCGCGGAAGCTTTGACGTTTCATTAATTCATTAGAGAAAGAAGACGATTCGTTGTACCGTTCTCGACTCTTAATCCTTGTCTGAATTTCAAATATGTTCTTTGTATATTCCCTTTTCTTCCTACGTCCTCTTCCTTTACACTCCTCTCTTTTTTGGCCGGCGTTTATTGGGGGACCACCCCACCGCCCCCCTGGCTACGCGCCTGCTGTCAGATGAACAGATACCTTGTCCGCCCCGGAAGCTCAGGGGTTTAAGGTTTTGATTTACGGTCAGATTAGCATTCAGGGGTCCGCCATAGCGCCCTAGACGGGGTCCAGGGGGCAGAGCCCCGGAAGTTCAGGAGTTTAGGCATTTAATTACGGTCAGATGAGTATTATTTTGATACCTAATTGTTACAATGGCAGGTCACTAATTGGCTTGGGGTTCAGGGGGCGGAGCCCCGGAATCTCAAGGGTTTTAGGCACTCAATTACGGTCAGATGAGTATCGAGGGGCCCGCCTAAGGGCTTGGTTGGGTCCAGGGGGCAGAGCCCCCAGAAGCTCAGGGGTTTTAGGCGTTTAATTACGGTCAGATGAGCATTTTTGATACCTTATTATTTGTGACACTAGCAGGACACTATTTGGCGTGGGGTCCAGGAGGCATTAAATGACCGTCATATGAGCATCTAAGGGCCCGCCTTAGGGCCCTAGGTGGAATCCAGGGGGCAGAGCCCTTAGGATTTTAGGCATTAATTTTAATCATGGTCAGATGAGCATATTTTGATACCCCATTATAATGTGACACTGGCAGTCACTGGCAGTTAACTATTTTTTTCTTTCTCGCTCTCTTTCTTTCTATTTCTCTTTAATATACTTTTTCAAAGAAAGTGTGGGGAGGGGCTCGAGGATCCCGATCCCCGCCGTTCCGTGGGCCCTGATATGTAGGCATCTCAAGAAGCTTTTTCTTGCCTGGCTGTAAATTTAGGAATTTGTCATTTTCCAACAAACGCATGAAGTGAGGAAAATTATCTCATTTCAGCATTATTTGTTAACCACCGTTAGGGAATTATAAATAAACCACGTTTGAATTCTATTTCTCCAACCCCCCCCCTCCTCTATCAGTATGCCAGTGCCCCCCCCCCCTCCGATCTACACCTTGTTGGCGGGAAATTGCAACTGATATCCCTTACCTTTCTTCATTCTCTTTTTTTTTCTTTCCTTTCTCTCCTCTTTCACTTTCCCTTCCCTTCCTTATCTCTCTTTTAGGTTTGCTGGGGGGGGGGGGGGGGGGAAGGGGCACGGTCATTTTGGTCCCCAACCCGCTCCACACATTGTTGGCGGGATTAACCGCAACTGATCTCCGCTTCTTTTCTCCCTTTTATTTTTTCTTCCTCGTTTTGTTCCCGTTTAGCTCTCCTCTTTTCCTTTTTCTTCCTTCTCTCTTTTTTTTAGCGGGGACGGGGGTTGGGGGGGGGGGGGGGGGGAGGCTAGGGTCTTTTGCCCCCCCCCCCCCCTCGATCCACAACTTGTTGGCGGGAAAATTGCAACTGATATCCCCCTTCTTTTCTTTTCTTCTTCCTATTTTGTCCTTCCCTTTATCTCCTCTTTATCTTTTTTTTTCCCTTTCCTTCCTTCTCTTTTATTTTTTTTATTGGGGGGGGGAGGGGGGGAGGGGGGGGGGGGTCGGCTTTGGGGCGGAGGCAAGTCCTTCCCCCCCCGATCTCCTTCTTTTCCCTCTTTTCTTTTCTTATTCTCTTTTTTTTTTCCTTTCTCTCCTCTTTCCCTTCTTTTCCTTCTCTCTCTCCCTTTTTTTTTTTTTTTTTTTTTGCGGGGGGGGGGGGGGGGCCAAGGCACGCTCGGCCCCCCCCTAGATCCGCGCCTGCATTTAGGCATATCTAATTACGGTCAGAATGAGCATATTTTGATACCATATTTGTGACACTGGCAGGTCACTAATTGGAGTGGGGTCCAGAAGCTCAAGAGTTTAAGGCATTAAATTACGAGCAGATGAGCATCCAGGGGCCCGCCTTTGGGCCCTTGGTGGGTCAAGGGGGCGGACCCCCGGAAGCTCAGGTAAAAATTATGCCATTTCAGCAACAATTTTGTGAATCACTGGTATCGAATTAAAAGTACTGAACCATGTTTGAATTTTAGTTGGTGGACCGCCCCCCCCCCCTCATTAGTACGCCAACGGTGACATGACTGATTCATTCAGCCTATATGAAACTGCCATTTAAAGGCTACGTTTTGCAATTACAATTTCTTTTTTTTTTCTTCTTCAAATAAAGATTAGTTGAGCCGTTCAAAATGGCGAATATTGATAAAATATAGGTATTCGTTTGAAACTACAAGTATGCCTAATAGGCCTATTTTGTACCTTTTTATCTTCTTGGCCTCAACATTAACAGTTGAATCAGAGTCAAAATTACCTGTACAGTCATGTACCATAGAGTAACCTTTCCTCCACACAATTCCATATAAATCACCATGGATGTATATATAGTATATAAAAGGGAAGGCAAATAAAATCAATAAACATCTGTTTTCTTGTAGTAGAATAATCATATCAATCTGGTAAGTTGCTGGGTTTAAAATTAAAAAAAGTAAGTATACATACAAAAATATGGAAATGTTACCATGCTAATAATCTATATCGCTTTTAAAATCATGAGTATATCGCCCACCCTAATTCCCAGCAAATGGCGTAGAAGGGTCTAGGCAAAAGGGACGGGCACTCATTTGAACAGGGGTGGTGAACTATGAGGGCGCACTTGAGGGCAATGAGAGGGGGTCTCTGTCTGCCTGTATGTCTGTCTCCCTGTCTCTCTCTCTCTCTCTCTGCCTCTGTCTCGCTCTGTCTCTCTCTCTCTCTCGCTTTCTCTCTTTCTCGAATCTTCCCTCTTTCCTAGCTTTTCTCTCTCCCCTCGATACGCCCTCTATCCAGGCACCCCTTCCCCTCTCTCTGTCTCTCTGTCTCTCCCTCTATGTCACTCTCTCTCTCTGTCTTCTCTGTCTTTCCTCTATGTCACTCTCTGTCTCTCCCTCTATGCCACTCTCTCTCTGTCTGTCTCTCTCTCTCTCCCTCTATCTCCCTCTCCCTCTATGTCTCACTCTCTCTCTCTCTCTCTCTCTCGCTCTCCTCTATGTCTCTCTCTCTCTTCCCCTCTCTTTTCTCTTCTCTCTCTCTCTCTCTCTCCCCTTGCTCTCTGCCACTCTTTCTCTCTGGTCTACTCTTTGTCTTTTGTAGTCCACCTTTCCTCCTTTCCATTTAATGATATCAATATATTCATGTAATTTGAATATGCACCACTAAAACAAACAAAAAATTACTTTAGTAATATGGAAGGTCAAGAGTAGGGTTTTTCCGTGATGCCCACTAGAAATTGTATAGTTGATTTACATCGGTGTTTTTGTTTTTTATGTGCTTTTTCTCGTTTTCTCGCTTTCTCTAAAAACAACAGTATTTATTTCTATCTCACTCTCATGGTGGGATATTACACTAAAAACATCTAATAATCATCAAATACGTATAAAACAAGAAGTTGGATTTGTTTGATTATTGTTTCAATTATTCATACAAACAGCACATGATTCAAATGATTCGAATGATTTTATTTCTCATGCAAAACAATTTTTTTCCCCATATGTTTTCCCTCCACAAGAATGATTATATCACAAAAAGTATGCAATGAAAGGACAAAAAAGCACGAGAAAAGCGTTGAACTGTAAGTTTCTCAGATGCCGTTTTAAAATATAACATGGACAAAGTATGCTTAGAAAATAGACGAAGGGCTGGCTATTTGGGCTGGGAAAAGAGGGGCCGGGACCCCCCCCCCCCCATTCATGAAATTTTCACAATTGTAAACTTACATTTAGGCTACATCAGGTCGTATATACATTTGTACTTGAACGAACCCCCCCCCCCGATTTCATATTTCCTTCTGTACATTGGCCAGAATTTCTGTTATTCCGAAGGTTCGTCATTCCGAAGGTTTGTCATTACGAAGGTTCGTCATTACGAAGGTTCGTCATTACGAAGGTTCGTCATTCCGAAGGTTTGTCACTCCGAAAGTTCGCTGCTAAGAGTTAAGGCTCGTATTTCCGACTGCTCTTTATTCCGAAGGTTCGTAATTACAAACATGAAATAAGGTTCATTAATTATATTCTTGAACAATGATTACTCCGAGATTTTGATAGAACCCTCTTTTAATGGTCGTAACTACACACCTTCTGAAATTATGAGTGCCACGACGCGAGACCAAACTCGTCCCGAAGTTCACCACTGCCGAATCTTACAGATGAAGGACTCGACACGGTTATTGACACTGCATGTGTTGTCATTCCACTTGTACCAGTAATATTTGGAAAAGAACACACAGTCACTGGAACCACTTTGGTCGTTAGGCTGACTAGGTGCCCAGGATGTGTAATTGAAGTCGGTGCCGTCGGCCCACTGTAAAGATGCCTCGGCCCTACGCTCATGCAGACCTATCCAGGTCCGTATGTCTATCGTCGGCTGTATAATGACAAAAAGAAGTGATTAACGTTTTCTTGGATGAGACAATGATGATCTTGAAGAAGATACGGTAACATTGCTACACTTCATCCGGCCTTATTTCGTCAGAACTATGTAGGATTAGGTTTTTAGGTTAGATAAAATAGATAAGAATGGGTCCCCAAGAATGTGCTTCCACTGATTAGGGGCGGCATTTTCTTTTCTTTTTCTTTCTTTTTTGTTTGTTCCTTGTAAGCAAATTTCTAATTGTTATTATATTGCCCACTCTTTTACAAAATCATGGATCAGCCCCTGATACTCACCCTTTTGGATCGGAGCGACTCGTACATCGCTACAATGAAGTCCATTTCGTCTTGAGAATGGATGGAGACAAGATGGCCCAGCCTGCTTGATGAGCTTTCCTCACCGCATGGTGTACTAAAGGTTCGGCAGGTTAGTTCAGCATCAAACCAGGAGATGTTTGCCGAGGTGAAAAATCTATGGAACGAAAGGCATTTAATGCTTTTGTTTTGATGAATAGTGTGTTCGCGGTTTTTAAATATATAAATGTATACACACACACACACGCACACGCTCACACACCACATGCACACGCACCCTCACACACACGCGCGCGCACACACACACTCACGCACACAATTATATATAGAGAGAGAGATATTTTTCTAAAGGCGTCATTAGAGGGACATTTTGAGTGAAAAAATGAGTCATTAAGTAGACATTGTTATTAGGAAGACAATTTCGTGTCCTCTGAACGTTTTGTACGTTTTATTTCTCCTAGAAGACCCTCTTTTTATATAGCTCTCTCCAGGCGCGGTCGGAGGGGGAAGGGGGGGGGGGTTAACACCCCCCCCCGCTTATTCAGCGGCTGACTGAGTCGTTGCGATTTTGGGGGTCCCCAAAAAAATAAAATCTTCTGTGTGCCCATGCCTTGAGCCATAATGACCCTTGACCCTTACCCTAAATTTAGCTCATCTATACCATAATAATTTGAATCTATTTGCTTCACCTGGATGGAGAGAAAAAAAAAAATAAAAATAAAAGAAAAAAATATAAAGTTATATATCCGGACACCTCGACGCAGAATATGTACATTGATACAAAAATCATAGTATTCGGGTCATCTAGATACACGAATATGACTACTCGGGCATCGCGTTGTACTTTCAATGTAAAAATTGTTATACGTCGGGGAGCTTGCTTCCCGAATATGACGATATTCGAGCACTTCATCGTACAATAGGAGGATACTTAGGCACTTCGTTGATTGGATACGGCGGTATTTAGGCACTATAGGTCTATACGCTGCCTGAAATCATCTAACTGAATTACTCTCGCGGCACCCCGGTTGGAAAACGATGCACTGGACCAGAACAACTCGACACTTCGGTGGCTTTTAATTTGAAAGCCCTTTGTACCCAGCTAGGAAGCCTCGTCAGCATCAATGTTGTTCTTCCTGAGGTTCCTGCAATTGTCATTACCCCGTCAACTATCAGGTACCCATCGACACCTGGATCGAAAGTGGCAAATGAGGATTAGATTTCTGATTCCATGAGGAATTACTATCCAATCTAAATTAATTGGAGCAGGGAACACACTCACCGGTAGCAATGATCATTAAAGCCCGTCCATAGAGGTGGGCATCCGCACATCCCTGCTTCAGCTCCTGGCAACTCGATGATGGCTGGACCGGCGACAAAGATCAACGCCAAAACCGAAACACTGCACATGCTGCGTCGACTTAACATAATTATCTCTATCAAGAATTGGTAGCGGGAAAAGTCCTCTCTGTGCATGTGCATCCAACAACGCAATGTTTTGAATAACTAGTCGCTGCATCAATTCAACTACCATTTAAATACTTTCATCCGTAAGACCCTAGTCACGTCAACGAGACCAACACCAGATCGATCACATTATACCGAACAAAATAGTACACTAACGATTACCAGGCGCGGATTTACGGGGGGGGGGGGTTAGGGGGTTTATACCCCCCCCTTGGGCGCCCCCCCCCCCCAAAAAAAAGAAGGGGGGAGAAAGAAGAAAAAGAAAGAAAAAAGAACGCACGCTGGAGAGAAACCCTTTCAAGTGCAAATATTGTGAGAAGATATTCAACTCATCTGGTAACCTAACCAAACACATGATAACTCTGGATATAACTGTATATTAAACTGTTACTTGATTTAAAAAAGACGTTATCATGCACTGCTTTTTATGGTCTCCATTGTGTTAATAGATGCCAGGAAAACATCACTTACGGGGTTCAAATAAACACCCCCGAAAAAATCGGCTCGCGGCTCGTGGACGATGCTCCGCATCGTCATTATTTTGGTCAACCCCCCCCCCCCCCTTAACAAAAAGCTAGATCCGCCCCTGATTACTCCCGAATGGCCAAAGTCAAAGATCGTATGGTTTGGAAAGTCTGCGTGGAGTTGTTTTGGCGGTGTGGCTGTGACCTCAAATACCTCAGAGTACGTGATCTGATTACCACGGCGGATGTATTAGGTAATTTTTCCCGGTAATTCTTCTGTATTCTTCTTCTTTTTCGCTATAAGTACAGGCCACCGTACGTCGGGTGTATTTCTACTTTATACTGTATAGGTTTATTTATGTCCTTGGATTCAATTGCTTTTTCTTGTTATGAGGAAGATCCTGTTCAGATATCTGGAAAAATACATGTTTTGTAGACATACATTTTTGAAATCGAAATATCATTATTATTATTTTTTATGTAGGATAACCTACTTTTCATTTCCGCTATAGTCAGCAGACGTACATTACAATGGGAAATGTCGGCTCTTATTTAATTGGCACAAATCTCTTCAAAATTAGTAGAAAATGGGTTCGTCCTTATAAGACGCACATAAAGGTATCAGAAATAGGACATCAAATTCTTCGGATACAACAGTTTTCTACAATTGTCTTTACTCCTTCACATGCAATCGACAAATTGTCGAATATAGGCACATGTATATCCGGGCCTGGTTCATAAAGCCCCTTATCAATTATAACAATTGCCAAAGATCTATGAGATATCTACTCATGGCCATTCACATGCAACACATATCGTTTCATGTTATTGATAATAAGATTTATTAATCGGAACCCCAAGACTATCATCAGATACCCGGGTCATATTAAGTATAAAGTGAGAAAGGCTGACACCCCATCCTTCTTTCTTTGTTACATACATGTACACAGCACCCGCACGCACATGTGTTGAGTCGGGGCAATTAACTCACATTTTGCCCTTTCACAGCTTAGAATTATATTAATATAATAAGAAAATCGAGACGATTTGTTACCTTTTGATCCAAACTCGAGCAACGTCTAACATTAGCATATTGCGAATCATCTAATTTGCATATTCGTAACAACGTCTACCTCGTTCCATGCCTGTCTCTTTCTCTGCCCCCGTCTCTCCTCTATTCTTGGATTCCTTAATAACCATTTCCCATTTCCAGGGGCGGCGGAGCGTTTTACAAAGTAGGGGGGGGGGGAGCACCAAGAAAAAGGGGCACTTTCTCGAAAGAAAGGAAACCTGCAAAGGAATACCTTAAAGCGAAAATATATAATGTTTAGACATTGAGACATTGTATTGAGGTTACATTATCAGGGAGGATTTCGACATTATTTTTACATGATCCAAGATACTTTGCTTAATAGGCATCATACTTTTCAGTAGGGGGTGATGATCTGAAAATGTTATTTGCAAGGGAGCGGAGCGAGCGAGCAAAGATTTTAAGATTTTTGAGGTCGCAGTGCGAAAATCTACATTTTATAGAGAAGGGAAACAAAAAAATCCTGATGTTTTTTTTTAATAAGCACAATTTAATCATGAAAGACTCAAACGATATACAGTGGTGGATGCAGGGGACACAGGGTGCTTGTGCCCCCCCCCCCCTCCGTTAAAAAGGGGGGGGAGGGGGAAAAGAAAAAGGAAGAAAAGGAGAAAAGGAGGGGAAAGAAAAAGGAGGGGAAAAGAAAGACAGTGGAACATGAAGAAAAGAGGGAAAGGCGGAGGAGAAAAAAGGGGGTAAGGGATTATATTGAGAAGGGAAAACAACCAGGGGCTTTGCTACAGGGGGTGTGGGGGTAGACACCCCACCTGTCAGGAGATTGCGGTAAAATGGCGCTGCTGTCCGGAAAAATGAGAAAAGGGGGAGGGTTTAGGTTTAAGAGTAATAATTTAATAAAACGTAAAAAGTTCCTTGTCTCGCGCGGAGGAGGAAACTGAATACAGACAAGAATTAAAGGTATAGACCAGTTTTGGAAACGCCCCCCTCTCAAAAAATGAAATGGAAGCTCTTATTACCAATCATGTGGAAGAATATGTTTTGACTAATACGTGATGATTCAAATTTTGCAGGGAAACCGTCTACTAATTGATATATTTGGTAAATTAGTAGATATCTATCCGATATCTATCCGGTCCGGATAGATATCGCGCACGTGACGCGTAGTCCTATATACATCTTTCTGTGTACAGTGCTTGTAACTTTACCAAGACTGGGCCAGATTTGTTATCATTCTGATGATTCCAGAACCTTGCAGTACATACCAATACTTATATGCTAGATGATCAGCCTTTTCTGATCGATTCCACAACGTTTCTTTCACAATGCAATCGCATGACCAGAACTGGCCGTTATCTTTAAGAGTAGAGAACGGTACAGCGAATCGTCTTCTTTCTCTAATAATTCAATGAATCGTCAAAGCTTCCGCGCTTTGCATAGCCTATCTGATATGCGTCGGGCTTTATGGCAAATATACTGATCGCGTTATGGAGACTGACATCGGCGCGGGCGTCAGCCCGAGCTAGCGCCCACGCCGATGTTAGTCTCCATAACGCGATTGGTATACTTGTAAAGCCCGACGCATATCGGATAGGCTACGCTTTGCACGGAAGGGGGAAAACTGAAATAAAAAAAGGATTAAGAGTAAAGAACGGTACAACGAATATTCCTCTTCCTCTTATAATTTAATGAATCGTCGTAGCTTCCGCGCTTCGCTTCAGACAGGGATTAAGAGAAAATGTAATGAAACGTTAAAGCTTCCGCGCTTTGTGCAGAAGGAGGGGAGGGGGAATTGAATTCAGACAAGGATTAAGAGTAAAGAACGGTACAACGAATATTCCTCTTCCTCTTGTAATTTAATGAATCGTCGTAGCTTCCGCGTATCGCTTCAGACAGGGATTAAGAGAAAATGTAATGAAACTTTAAAGCTTCCGCGCTTTGTGCAGAAGGGGGGGGGGGTTGAATTCAGACAAGGATTAAGAGTAAAGAACGGTACAACGAATATTCCTCTTCCTCTTGTAATTTAACGAATCGTCGTAGCTTCCGCGTATCGCTTCAGACAGGGATTAAGAGAAAATGTAATGAAACTTTAAAGCTTCCGCGCTTTGTGCAGAAGGGGGGGGGGGGGGTTGAATTCAGACAAGGATTAAGAGTAAAGAACGGTACAACGAATATTCCTCTTCCTCTTATAATTTAATGAATCGTCGTAGCTTCCGCACTTCGCTTCAGACAGGGATAAAGAGAAAATGTAATGAAACTTTAAAGCTTCCGCGCTTTGTGCAGAAGGGGGGGGGGGAGGGGAATTGAATTTAGACAAGGATTAAGAGTAAAGAACGGTACAACGAATATTCCTCTTCTTCTAATAATTTAATGAATCGTCGTAGCTTACGCGCTTCGCGCGGGAGTGGGAAAATGGATTCAGACAAGGATGAAGAGTAGAGAACGGTACAACGAATCGTCTTCTCTCTCTAAAAAGTTAATGAATCGTCGTAGCTTCCGCGCTTCGCTTCAGACAAGGATTTAGAGAAAAATGTAATGAAACGTTAAAGCTTCCGCGCTTTGTGCAGAAGGGGGAAAATGAATTCAGACAAGGATTAAGAGTAAAAAACGGTACAACGAGTATTCCTCTTCCTCTAATAATTTAATGAATCGTCGTAGCTTCCGCGCTTTGCGCGGGAGTGGGAAACTGGATTCAGAAAAAAATTGAGAGTAGAGAACGGTACAACGAATCGTCGTCTTTCTCTCTAATAATATTATGAAACATGAAAGTTTCCGCGCTTCGCTTCAGACAAGGATTAAGAGTAAAATTTAATGAAACTTCAAAGCTTTGCGCGGGAGGGGGAAAACTAAATTCAGACAAGAATTAAGAGTCGAAAACAGTACAACGAATCGTCTTCTTTCTCTAATGATTTAATGAACCGTCAAAGCTTCAGTATTTCGCGCGGGATGGGGGAAACTGAATTCAGACAAGGATTGAGAGTCGAAAACAGTATAACGAATCGTCTCCTTTCTCTAATTATTTAATGAACCGTCAAAGCTACAGCGGTTCTTGCGGGAGGGGGGCAACAAAATTCAGACAAGGACACATATATACATTGCCCAATAGAGATTTGGGGAGTGTCTGCAGCTGTAGGGCAATCAGTGTGACTTTAAAGCCTCACCCCCCCCCCCACTCCCCCAGTACGCACATTATGGCCCGAATTTACAAAGGAGGTTTGTCTAAAAACCCAAGGTCTAGTGCGTCATATGACGCGTTTCAAACCTAGGATGGAAACGCTTCGAAACGCGTCATTATGACGCACATACATCGCTTAGTCGACATACCTCCTTTGTGAATTTGGGCCCATAGGTTTACGAACTGATTGAACAATTTGCAAAGGACTTCCCAAAGAAAACTCGAGCATATGGGATATTTCCGTTTGAGATTCTTGACAGTCTCATAGTGAAATATTATAGTTAAACAGTTGAACGTCTGGGTATCATGGGCTTAACGGTTGCGAGTCGCTATAAAGTCTGCATGTGTACGAATTGTCATACCAATGTTCAAATCTGATAAAATTAAAAATTACAATATGTTTGTCAATCATAGCAATTAAAAGTGTGCGCAGTGGGCTTTAAAAGAAAAAAAGGATGCACTTCGCCCTTAC